CATGGTCATATTGGTAGGAAGACTTAGAGGAACGCACCTAGTCCAGAGTCCATTGTATGCATGATCATTTTCAGAGTCGGACCGTGGACATACTACATCCCCAGACGCTTCGCCGGATCGTAGTCGGCATTGTCAGTGAGTCTCATCATTCTTAGCGCCATTCAACAACTCCTCAAAGAGATTTATCACTTGTTACGAATTGTGGTATGGTGCTGAGAATGGTAAGACTCACTGACGATACCGACTACGATGCCGACGAGGATGGATTGATCTCTATCACAATTGGCATAAGAGCCCAGAACAAATTGACTAATTCATACTCTATCGTATTTTCCTTGATTCCCATTACCCTCTATTCTGGCTTTTAAGAACTGAAACCAGCATGTAACTTATGCCGACGTTTCCTACATCAGACAGAAATAATGGGAGTATCTTTTTAATTATAGAAGATCCTGCTAACCTTTCTGGGCATTCAATCATGGATGCTAATTAATACTCCTAGACAGACGATTCTACTCATAGTCAGTTATTCACAAGATAAACTTTGCTTTTCTTAATTCCCTACCTAGTTCAAACTTTATTTTATATCACTATGGCATTTTTAAGGCCAAACCCTACCAACTAGTGACATCCCATCGCAAGGACTCATTTGTCGAATCTAAAGAGCAGTACTTCACTACTAGCCAAGTTCTATACTTTGGGTTCCTAAATATATGGAATCTTGAACATCGATACTTTCTGGATCCAAGGAAAGAGTGATATCTCATTCAACAAGCTATTTCATTTGTCACTTGATAATATTCTTACTCCTGCTTGATGCCTGCGTTTTAGTCCATGAGGTAATTGTAGTAAGACTAGCGTCTTGTATATTACTAACAAAGCTCTGCATGAACATTGCCAAATCCATATATGAGTATACATTAATTTATTCATCTGCTCGTAGTTTTAGGACTTGTTTATTCGTGATTATGCCTTCTATAAGAGGGTAAAAAATATTTTTGTCCTCTATTTCTGAAATACTTTGCTATTCAATTTTGAATATCAAAAACATGCCTGAATAATCTGGAGATGGGAGTCATAAATTACATAGTAGCTCAGAAAGCCACTAAATATACTTGGTTTGTGGCTAGATTTCGTGTAAACTAGTCTATTTTTAATAAAAATTAACACTGATGCCTACCTTTTAAATATTTTAAATGAAAATTTCCTAAACCTTATTTCGATGAATTTCGATATTTTTATGTGTTCCTGCCTCCAATCGGTTACGACTGCTGCATTGTGCGTGTGGATGGCTATATAACTCAGCAACGGGACTACATCTTAGTTGGCAACAATCGCTTTTTAGCTGAGCTCTGTTCGAAAATGGCTGAAGTAACTGTCTTATTAGTTGCCTACCCAAAGCCAATCCTGTTTCTGTTTCTTTGATCATTATTTCCCCGCTGGCTCAGCAACTGATATCCAGCTACACTCTAATCCCGAAGATTAGCATGACCTGCTACTCATCCTCAGAATTTTCTAGAGATGGCTGTGACCCTTGAGACAGCTGTCTGATCGCTCCACTCTTGAATTGCTTTGACCTGTATTTTATTTCATTAGAGTGATGCAGGATAGCCAAGCTTAACTAGACTGGGCCAAAGCGGTTGATTTCTGGCTTCTGACTACTATATATCCATTTAAACAAACAAAGACATGCATTTTAAACTTGCAATCTATCATAGAATTGCTCGGACCTCATTTTCGTAACTGTCATGAGGACATAGCTGGACGCACCTTGTACGAGGTAGCCTATTTGAAGAGTTGTAACTTGGTGCTCAGAGTGACAAGACGAACTGAGATGCCGAGTACGATCCCGACGAAACGTCCGGTAATAAACCAAGTCCACGGTCCAATGCTTGGAATTATCACATCTTCTATAGCAGAGGACCTTAGATATGGTGTGTCCAACTAGGTCGCCTTGACAACACGACCAAGTTGCGTAAATGAGGTTAGACCACCTATATACATAGAAAGGAGACTATGATCAAATCTGAGACCACAACATCTTTGTCTTTGTATCTACGTCTCACTCCTCCACTTTATTAAACTTTTATTTATATGATGGGGGCGACGAACCTAGTTTTTTGATAATTTTACTTTTTGTTTGAAGGAAAATGTGAATATTCTCTTACATGTGCGAATACTTGCATGCAAACTTTTACAAATTGTCTAAAAATCTGTTCATGCTGCCTGCATGAAAATCTCATTTCAGGAAGTATTCAGAAGGCCTGTGATGCCGACTCAACCACTTCATCAGCCACCGTAACGCGCACCATTTCTCCAGGACGCAGCTTCGAACATCATGTGACTAGCCAAGCACAGGTTTCCGTTGGTAATGTTCCATTGAGCCCTTCTCGTGTCCCTCCGTCTACGTCGACAGCGGCAACTACTTCATCCAACGAAGTGCCGTTTTCTCTCACTTATCCACCGCTTTATGTTACTGCTCCTGCTGCTATGCATACTCATCAGGGCTATCTGAACAATCAGCATCCTGGCAGCCAACATCAAAGTCATTCAGGGCACCAACAGCTGAATCAGGTTCAGGCTGAGCAGCACTCGACCAGCACTGAGGCCTCAAACTCATTTTCTTCGAATCAGGAGCTCTGGCAGACACAAGTTAACGGGCAAATTTTTGAATTGCGTGATCAGATACGAGAACTGAAGGCTCAAGTGGAAATGCTAAAGGTACTGATCCATTTCTTTTTTCCTTTCAGTTTTTATTTTTAGCTTCTGTTATTCTACTAATTATATTATTCTGCCTCATTTTATTTGGTTAACTTATTCCTTCTCTTTTTGAGTTACTTTTATTTTTCATTTTACCACCATTCTTTTGAATTATATACTATGTATTCGCTTTCGCAGTTCTCTCTCTTTCACACTTTTGAAATAACTCTTAAAGTCTTTTAACCTTAATTCACTTATCCAAATAATTTTTTGATCATTCATGTTATTCTATTTGTCCTACTTTTGGGATAATTATACAAATTATCAAGTTGCTGACTACAACTTAATTCAGCGCGAAGCCGGGCAAAATCAATTAATCAAATACCAAACAGCTCAGCAAAATAATTAGATTTACACTGTTGTTTGACTAAAGAATAAATAATCTATATCCGAAATGATATTGACAGAATAACCTTATTTACTTAGCAAAAGCCACCATGGTTTGCTCCTCTGAGCTGACTAGAAGATTCTTTGCTCTTCTGTCAAATCCAATTCAACCTTGTTTCTCACAAGGCTCTGCTGTCTTTATTTGGCTCTAGCTTTGCTTGCATGAGCTGCGCTAACACCTTTAAGGAAATTGGAAATTGATCATACTTGTCAAGTGGGAGCAAGCTGGGTCAGCATCATTTCTCGACTTCCAGGGCGTTAAGTTGACTTGTGACTTCAAATCAAGCTAGGATATTTACCTCATATTTGTGGTGGTGACAGGTGTCATTTTGAAAAAAAAGATTCGTACATGTGGATTATTGTTTTATAGAAATACTGGGTTTATTCAGTAGCTAGCACTTAATATTCGTCACCATCACAGATGGAAGTTCAGTTAGATCCTTCTTGTCTTAAAGATACGGGTCTCCTTGACTTAAATTGACTGGGATTGGCTTACAACCTGCTGCCACTTGATTCAGAACGAATTTTCAGTGGCGATTAGATATGTCGATTCAACCTAGGCGAGTTCAATAATTCAGTACGCCACGAATGAGAGGGTAATATTAGCAGAAAAGTTAATCTGGATTCAACGACAAAGCGAGGATTCCTATTCATTTTATCGTATGCAGCTATTGATCTTCAAGGCAGCCTAAGAGGGCCATCATCCTACCAATAGTTTCTGATAACACTTAATTTTCCTTTAAAGTTGTTTATCTTTTAACTCCTGACTTTTAACCTTGCTTCTTACTCTAACTATCAACATATTTTTATGGTATATACTGACACCTTGGCTGAGATATGTTGAGAACACTTCCTTATAATAGACATATTACGAGCTGATATGAATGAAAACACACATGCCTGTTGAATGGGTAAGTAGGCATTAAATTTACTCTATGGATGCTTGATACAGGAGGCCTTTGCGCGCAATGATTAGGACAAGAAAATACAAAGAACTTCCCTCCATTTTGGCCTCGCTTCTTACAGTGTCTTTGGCTGTACCTCAAACGTTATATTTCTACCTTGCTAGTATATTCACCGGGGGAGGTGCTATTCTTCTGGAGGATGGACATCAGCATACTTGCTATGCATTTTCAATCTGGGAAATTATTTCTTATTTAATAAAGAAGATGCAACTTTACTTTAATGAACATCTACATTTAATCAGTAGATTACGAGTTATGCGTAATTAAATGTTAAAACATTAACTGAGGCAACATCATGTCTCACATGATCGAAATTAATCCTATTTATCTTAATTTGATTTAAACGAAAACAGACGACAAATGCAAATATTCGGATGGACATGTCCCGTGGTCAAAAGGCTCTTACTGACAGGATACAAATCTTGATGGCAGAATTGGATGAAACCAAAAAGCAGCGCGCAGGCGACTCCATTGAGCTGCAGCGTTTGCGCACTCTCCTCCTTCAGCTGGACGCCAAGTCACTCAATTTGCCGATTTGGGGCAAGGGTTCCAGCTCGGTTTGCTCAGCCGGCCCGATCTCCGGACCGCTTGCCCCTAACGATACCGAAGCTACTAGCAATCCTTCGACACCAACTCCGTTTGCAGGCGCTCACGGTCCTTATCCGAGTGGTTCGAGTTCGCGCGTCTTGCATACACCAACCACTAGTAGTGCTGGCGGTGTTGGAAATGGCTATATGTCTGCCGGACACTTGATTGCCCGACCAAGTCGTGGAGCTCCACTTGGCAGTCCGATAGCAACCAAGCGTAAGATGCGACCTCGTCAACCTCCGAAAAATGAGTCTTTTTGTGAGAGCTCTTTGGAGACGGAGGGCGATGAGGGTGGTATCAATAAGGTGGAAGAAACCTCACGAGATCGTAGCTGGGATCGCGATCGAGAACACGATCTGGAACAGGTGGGCAGAGTCTCAGTTGATCTGAATACCTCAAATGTTGTGCGCCCCAGGTCAACGGCGGCTAGCGCACTTGCCTATTCACGACGATGATTGCATTTTTGCATCTTCTTTTCGAAATTGTCACCCCAATTACTCCCCTGAATGTCATTTATTCTTGCCATTTATTTCGATGCTCTATCTTCTCACGTTTTCATGCGATGAATCTTTAGACTGTTCCTTTGCATTATTCAACTACTTTAAATTTGGCTACATCATTAAACCATTCCCTAATGCACGAATATGTATACTCACATATAGCTTCGCTCTTTTTATTCCTTAAGAGTGCACTCATAGACATTCGCACGAACTAAATCAAAGACAACTGCAATCTTACCTCTGTCTGATCCGTTAATCCAGGCTTCCATGACCAGATTTATTTCTATTCTACTGTTCCCTGTCTACCTCTTTTAGAAGTCTCTGCCAGTCACGGTGATAGTTTAAAATTTCCATTCGGACTTCTTAGTGGTCAATTGAAAACAGAAGGTGCCCCAGTTCATATTTTCTCACCAGAATTATCCGATAGAAACGATATATATATATATATATATATAATATTTCCTTTGCCCTATTACTTGGCCAACAATGAGATGGACTTCACATTAATATGACTTTAAATAATAACCGTAAGTATCCTGATAATGCCAGTTTCAGGCCTTTCATTGCGATAGCGACTCGACAAAAATACCCATTTTCTATATTGACAAATCTTCACTTTATTGTACTTTCAAGACAAACTTCTATTTTTAATTGTATTATTTATGCACATTTTCAGCCAAAGGTGCTATATTTTGCATTATTTTACATTGTTTTTTCTGGGATTAGCAAACCCTTGCGGAACTTGAATGCTTCCGGCTAAAGATGATACTTGGGAAATATCACATTTTATGTGATATTTAGGAAAAAAGCTGACAC